ATATGTATAAGACAGTCAAAGAAGACCTCTGACATTTAGCTGAGTCCTGATGGAGAAGGAGCATATGGAGATTGGGAGGTATTCCAGATAATCAGATGGTGTACAGGACATAAGGAAGGACCAAGTTTAACAGAGAAGGACAAAAATAAGATCATTATGTTGGGTCCTCAGGTCTAGTGAGAAAGCCATTGCTGTTCCCAAATTCTTACATGTTTTAGCATGAATATAATCACAATTTTCAAGGACTGTGTAGTGGCTAAGAACAGAATCTGGAGTGACACTGCTTGCATTGAAATCCTGGCCCCTCCTTTTCTAGCTATTTTACCTTGGGAAATGTTACCTAACCATTGCGGCATGTTTCCTCACCTGTAACATAAAGATGAATAATAGTACCTGCCTTATACAGTTGCTGTAAGAATTAAATGAATTAATAGTTTTAAAGCACTAAGGGAAGTGCTTGGCACATAAAAAGTGCTTCTTATATAAAATAATGCTACCCTTTTCCCCTTGACTGCTTTATATGCAAAAGATAAGCCTTTTTGATACATGCATTTAGTGATTACTTTTGTTGCAATTTAATTAACTCTACAAGAAGCATGTTGTTTTTAATTTTTCTACATCATAAGTCACTTGACATAAGAATAGCTACTCCTGCTCTTCTTTGGTTTCCATTTCCATGGCATATCTTTTCCATCCCTTCACTTTTAGTCTGTTTGTATCTCTATATGTTAGATGGGTCTCTTGAAGACAGCATATGCTTGGATCTAGCTTTTTAATCCAATCAGTCAATCTGTGCCTTTTGAATAGGGAGTTTAATCCACTCACATTTTGGGTGGTTATTGACAGGTATTGTTTAATTCCTGTCATTTAATTGCTTTTTGTTAAGATGTTTTAAATATCTTTTGATACTTGCTTCACCTTTTATTTCACATCTTCAATGTTAGTTGGATATTTGAGGTGGCATGATTTAGCTTCTTGCACTTTCTCACTGGCATTTTTGTTTTAACAGCAAGTTTTGCTCTTTCTTGTGTACCTATGATAGTGACATTCATTATTCAGATTCCAGATGCAGGACTCCCTTGAGAATTTCTTGCAGGGCTGGTCATGTGGTGGTGAACACCCATAATTTTTGTTTTTCTGGGAAATACACTATTTCTCCTGCATTTCTGAGGAAGAGCCTTGCTGGGTAAATAATTCTTGGCTGGCAATTTTTTTCTTTTAGTGTTTTGAATATATCTTTCCACTTTCTTCTGGCCTGTAGGATTTCAGTAGAGAAGTCTTCTGTTAGCCTGATGGGGGTTCCCTTATAGGTGACTTGATGCTTTTCTCTTGCTGCTTGTAGAATCTCTCTTTGTCTTTGAGCTTTGCAAATTTGACTATATTGTGTCTTGGAGAGGATCTTTTTGGATTGAATCTGTTTGGGGACCTTTGAGCTTCCTGGATCTGAAGATCTGCATCTCTCCCTACCCCTGAGCAGTTTTCTGTTGTTATTATTTCCTTGAATAGGTTTTTGATATATTTTCCTTTCTCCTCCTCATCTGGAATACCAGAAATCCAGTTGTTAAAATGCTTGAGGTTGTCTGCTATCTCTCTTAGATTTTCCTCATTATTTTTAATTCTCTTTTCCTTTTTTTTTTTGTCTGCTTGGGTTATTTCAAAAAGACCATCTTTGAGATTTGAAATTCTTTCTTCTGCTTGCTCTAGCCTGCTGCTTAAGCTCTCTGTTGTGTTTTTTATTTCATTGAGTGAATCTTTCATTTCTAGTTCTGCTACATTCTTTTAAAGGTATTAATTTCTTTGTAACTTTCCTCCTTCATATTCTGGATATTTTTTCTTGTTTCCTTGTGTTCTCTAATTGAGTCTTCTTTTATTTCTTCAAGCTTTCTTAAGATCATTGCTTGGAATTCTTTTTCAGACATTTCAGTTAGAGATGATAGAAGGATTCCCTGTTCTATGGCATCTGAAATTTGAGCATTACTGTATTCCTTTTATGGTGTCATATCTTCTTATTTGTTTGTGTTTCTAGTATTCTTTCATTGGCGTTTGGTCATCTGGTAGAGGACTTTCTTCTTCTGTTACTCTGGGGTTGGCTATGATGATAAAGACTTCCTCCTCTATTTGCAGGCTCTACTGGTGACTCTTCTTATATCAATGTAGTCAGGTGAGTGGCAGGTTGCTTATAGAGTGGCCCTGGCTGCTACTGTGCCGGTGAACTGTTGTTGTGGTGACAGAAGGTGTGGCAGTATCTATATTACAACACCTTGGCTCCTGTTCTAGCTTTCTATGGCAAAAGAATGAGCCCCTGGTGCTGTGCAGGTCTCAGCTCACCTCAGCACCTGCTGGGGTATGGGTGCTTCCCTCCAGACCTTAGCTGTTGGTGGGACTGTAAATTAGTACAACCACTATGGAAAACAGTATGGACGTTTCTCATACAACTACAGATAGATCCTCCAGATGATCCAACAATCCCACTTCTGGGTATATACCCAAAGGAATGGAAATCATCATGTCAAATGGATAGCTGCACTCCCATGTTCATTGAAGCTCTGTTCACAATAACCAACCTAAGTGTCCATCAATGGATGATTAGATAAGGAAAAGGTGGTATATGTATACCATGGAATACTACTCTGCCATAAAAAAGAATGAAATTCTCCCATTTGTAACAACATGGATAAGCTGGGAGAAACTTATGCTGAGTGAAATAAGCAAAGCACAGAGTGATAAACACCATATGTACTCTCTCATAAGTAGGAGCTAAGAGATGAAGAAAGGAAAGGAAGACCACAGTGGTACTTTGGACTTGCAGAGGGAGAGAAAATACCTAGGGATACAAAGTGGAATGGGGAAAGAGGGATGGGGAGAGAGGTCAGGGATAATTGAGAAGATAGTTGGGTGGGGGACATGGGATATAATCACAATTTGTGGTAATGGACATGCTACCAGTATGGATCTGGCCATCACATCTTAGGTATGAGTGGTGACAATTTGCTTTGTATCCCTTGAATACTCATAACCAATAAAACAAAACAAAGCATTAAAAAAATAAATTAAATATCACACATCATTGTCATGCTTTGAGATTTTCCACAATAGTGATCACCTGGGTGGCAGAGTATGCATGAGCCAATGAAAATCTTTCTCTAATCAACATATCTTTAAGGGGCATGGCTCATCTTGATGGGTTTGTCATGATGTTACTACTAAATAACAAAGGAAAGGTTTGCTGTCACCTGCTATCTTGACAGCTGGATTTATCCTGCAGAAATGTTATGCCTGGCTTGTACAATGTTTCAAAAAAATTATTAAGTTGCCAAAAACTAAAAATCTCATAATTTACAAGAATAGAAATAGAATTCCGGCATCTTCTGAAAAATAGTCTATTTCTATTAAGCTGATAGCATTGGGCATAGTGACTAAAAGGCAACAATTGTGGACAGATAATTTTGTTTAACATTTTTACCATTCTTTCATAGTTTCTTGGTTTTTTTTTGTTGTTTTTTGTCTTTTGTCTTTTTCCGTGTCCGGCAACGGATCGCAACCCTCAGTGTTGCCCCCGTACCGGACCGGGGACCGGCAACGGGATTGCAACCCTCGGTGTTGCTCCCGCACCTCGCTCAGCCAGTGAGCGGGAACCGGTCTGTATGTGGGATCCGAACCCTCGAGCGGGAGCGCCGCTGCGCTTCCCAAGCGGCGCACTATCCAGTGCGCCACCGGGCCGGCCCCATAGTTTCTTGTTTTAACTTAAAGTTCATACTGTTAAAAATGTTGTCCAAAAATATCATAAGCTTCATATACTAAAATTTTAAGGTATTCAGTGGAAAATAACTTCAGTAAATATCTGTAGAGAAACCTAGAGTAGCTCAGACTATATGTAAATAGTTGGAAAAGGTCTTTGAAATGTAACAACACTTCTTTAAAAAATAGTAAAGAAATTTCCCAAACTGGTTTTTGTTTAATAATTGTTCTGCAAATTTAAAGTTATATTAGTGTGACTCACAAGAATCAAATGAAAATAGGAAGAGGCAAATGTAGATGATATTTCTGTTCATTAGTTATTATGAATTATTTAGATAAAAACAGCTTTTGGAAAAACCTCATTTTCATCCATATCACATCTGGATATTGTAATTTTCCTAGACTATGGAATGTTAATAGATAATGAGTTTTTGTTTGTTTGTTTGTTTTGGTGGCTGGCAGGTACAGGGATCCAAACTGTTGACCTTCATATTGCCAACACTATGCTCTAACCAACTGAGCTAACCGGATAGCCCCAAACCAACATTGCAATTATGTAAAAGGAAGCACACACTATAATCTATTTGGTCTAAATTAATCTTAAAAACTTATGCATATACTTACATGTATAGTCTTGAAGTTCTGAAAGTGAGTTTCTAAAAGACACATAGTTGACGCAATAGTTACTGTATTTATTAACATGTAAAACACAAACCTGCAAGGGAACTTTGAGGTCCATTAACCCACCTACTCAATTTTCTAGAAAATGTTGCCAGATTCTAAGTACTTTTGCTAAAGTCACAAAGCTAAAACTCTGTAACAATTTTTTTTCCATTACAGTGTGATCTATCAATGTTTTCTTTTACTTTTAGGTCTAATAAATATGTGAATTAAAATGCTTTTATGCTGCATTAGCCATTGAATAACAATATTCCAAATTATTGAATAGCATATTTTAAAACTTCTATATTTTAGAATTACTAAAAAAATCATCTCAAAATATCAACATTTTAAATATGAATTTTTCTCATTGTCTACAATTAATGAAATAATTTAACAAATAAGCCTCTACTTTTAGTCATTTACGATTAATTATAAAGTCCCAAATGAAAATTCTAACAAATTAAGTTTCCCCTGGGGAAGGGGAAGAAAGCTTTATAACATAAATATGCACAGCTGTTAACTCAATAAACTTTTATTTTTCTCTGACATGCATCTCCAACATTGTGTGCTTTTTATTCTTATTTCGTTTTTGTTTGTAGAAAACTGGGAACAAACCAGAAAGTGTGGATTTGTGTGGAGCACATATTGAATGGACCAAGGAAAAATCAAGCAGAAAGAATGTCTTTCAGGTAAGAATGTCACATATATTCAATTTATTCCTATTTCCTTTGAATCTGAGCTCTCTTGGGTAATCAAAATAAGACTAGCTTCTTGTGATGTTTTCATGTGAATTAACAAGTTGTCTGAAGGTCATTATGAAAAACTGACTCTTCTTGTTGAATCTTTGGTTTGTTTTGTTGCTTTTACTGGTGGCTGGTTGCTATCTAAACACAAAATATATGTTGCGTGTTGATTAATTTTATACACAAAAGTCATTGAATTTTGCAGTGTGTTTGATAGCTGTTTGGGGTTCAGACCTAGAATATTTGACTTAAATAGATTAATGTGGAATTTTCAGAAATATACAAACGAAAATTCACTAATTATAAGCTATTTTCATTCATTGCCGTTCCTGCCTTCTAGTCATTAATTACATTTACTGGTGTAACTTAGGGGGATATAGAGAGCTGAACAACTATAAAAATTGGATCTTTTTATAGTGCATACTTTAATTTTTTGGAAAAAATAACTGTGATTAATAATTACAATCATATTCCACTGAATGGAACAAACCAGACAAGATCCTTGAAAGAGAGAAAATTGGAAAATTTAATATTTCACACATGAAGTTACCAAAATCATTTAATTTAGCACAACTTTCTTTGTCAATTAATAATTTTAGGTTATGGAGATTGATACTTTTTCTGCTTTATATGAAATTTAATTTACTTTTACATTTTCAAAATAAAATTTTATAGGGATATTTTAGAATTTATATATTTTAGTAGCAAGGGAGCTGGATTATTATAATTTTTTTAATTAAATGTCTTCTAAGAGCATTTTGGCTCTTGAAGAAAGGCCAGTTCTGTTCTCAAATGCTTTGCTGAAATTCATATGTTACTGGGTCTTATAGAAGTATAGGTAGGTGACATTTCTTACCTACACTCTCACCAGGAGGAAAAATGCTGGTTTCCAGTTTGGTCTGTATTTTCCAGATGCTAATTCAAGTATACCCAAATAATTTGGGTGCATTCGGATTTCAAAAACAAATAAGACTCTTTCAACATATTCTGGAATACATAATTATCTTTCTGGTCCTAGTTTTATTCTCTTTAGGTAGAGAGGTTTTTGTTTTGTTTTGATTTTTACCAAAAAAGAGAGAGAATATATAAAATTATTATTTGTCAATTAAAATTAAATGTAAAAGAGAGAGAAAGAGAAGGAAGGAAGGAGAGAAGGGAAGGAAAGAAGGAAGGAAGGAAAGATGGAAGGAAGGAAGGAAAAACATAAGGAAAGGGAGAGATAAAGAAGGAAAGAGAGAGAGAGAGAGAGAGAGAGAGAGAGAGAGAGAAAAGGAAACAAAACACATTTGCCTAGAAATCAGTGGTCTAAAGCCAAAAGTGTTTAGAATGTGACACAAGGAGAAATAAATTTTGTTTTAAAGTGAGAAACTGTAGATCAGTGATACATCCTTTTTCCCAATTTCTTACTTTTTGTTATTCTGCCATAATAACAAAATTTAGAGGTTATAATCCTAGCCTTGATGACAACCTAGATGATCAATATGACTAGTTCTGAACCAGATCGAATAAGCTTAGTGGTGGAGCATTATAATTTATTGTGAGTTTAGCATCCTAATCACCAAAGATGTAAAAGAAAGACATTAAAATTTGACATTGACATAATTTTTAGACAATAGAAACTCTTGGAGATGAGCTAAGCCAGGCTTTTTCATTTTCTTCTAACCTTATGAAGAGTTAAATTACATCACAAATGAGGAAGGCAGCTAGCTATGTATGATGTACACAGGACTAAAAATACTGAAGAAAAATATTTATGTATAATTTTACATAACTATGAACATAATAGGCATAGATACACATTTAAAACACTTATTCTGATGGTATATATCATCTTAATCTTTTCTAAATATGACTACCTCCTGTTGTAATTTTCTACTTGTTTTTCATATTTCTGATTATAGCTACTTCCACTGATATTAAAAACTATTCTCACTTTTGGTAGCTTTTTGGAGGTGAAAATCTTGCAAGCTAGTTTTGTTTGTAATGTAACTGGACCGTTTGTGGGGTCTCAGTGTTCTTACCTACAGTTTATCTTTTTTTGTCTTATTTCCATCACTTTAGAGAAACAAGAGGTGATTATAACAATGTCAAGTTGCATTTTCTGCTTCATTCTTTTTGGGTGAATCACTTGGTTTTCCTGTCATGCTGAAATCTTTTCATCACCTAAACACCTCAGTTAGGTAAAATTTACTAATATGCATCCATAGATATATAGACTACAAGAGTAAGCCTTTTGAGAGGAACAGTATAAATAGCTTTTATAGTTCTGTTAACAAAAAAGCATCGAGAAGGATTTGCCAGAGAGCTAATCTAGATGACTTGCATCAATATTTGATTAGATACATTAGCTGGTCTAACTCTCAAATGATCAGAATAAACATGATTATGTCTCAAAAACATGATATTAAGGCATTGTTGGATGTTTGAGTATGTGTGTGCAAGGGTTTCATTACCTACAAAAAAATGAAGTGTTTCTTCTTGACTGAAAAAGACCATCATAGCTTCAGCCGATGTGCTACATCAGAAATAGCTTTAGAATTCCAAGTTTGAATTAGGCTTGGTGTTCAATCTCAGTCTATGAATTATAGATTACAGATAGCAAATGACTATTGAGATTTTTGGTTCAAGAAAAATCAAAGAAGAGCAAAATTAGAAATAATTTAAAATTTGAAATCTGTTTTTAAAAAGTTGATGGATTAGCAATTGTATGCTACATAATTACGTCCATAGATAAGTTGAACTTGAATAGGAAAATAAACAAAAACTGAGCACCTGAGATGTGCTTGAAAGTCTCAGAAGCACACACAAAAATAGATGGATTTCATTTGCTTCATTTGTTTGTATATGATGTTTGGACATTTGGGTTGTTCATTCTCTCTTTGTATTAAAAGCCAAGTTTCTTTCATAGTCAAAGTCCTATCAAACTCTTGATGTGAATTCAATCTTATTTGATTGGTACATGGTAACATAACAGTGACAACATTAATGATTAAGTTTTAGTATTCAACAACTCTCGGTAAATCACAATGATGCTCACTTGCTGAACTTCAGAATACCTGCCTATTTTTTAACAAAACAATCTTTGGCATAATTGGTACTTCTTAATAATAAATAATATATTAAAAATTAACAACTTCTCGGCCGGCCCAGTGGCGCACTCGGTAGAGTGCAGCGCTTGGGAGTGCGGCGGCGCTCCCCCCAAGGGTTCGGATCCCATATAGAGACCGGTCCGCTCACTGGTTGAGTGCGGTGCGGGTGCAACACTGAGGGTTGCGATCCCGTTGCCAGTCACAGTACGGGCACGATACCGAGGGTTGCGATCCTGTTACCAGTCACGAAAAAAGACAAAAAGGAAAAAAAAAAAATTAACAACTTCTATGGTAAGTGTATACAATATAAGTCACAATATGTGTTAAAATATATATATGTATGTATATATAATGTATGTGTGTGTGTATATATACACACATTTCATAGCCTGACCTTAGGAAATAGAGTGAGAATTTCCACACACACACACACAAAGACACTTTGTATTTATAAAAGGTCATACAAAATCTAAGTTAAATTAGCAAATGTTCATTGCAGCTAACTTTATGTAATTGTGCATTGAGTATAATTGTCAAGGACCATCACAAGTTTGATGTAGCCTGAGAAAATGTCTAGCAGCCGAGTGATTTGTAATGAACTGTGGTATGAGTTTTCTTAGTTAACTTAAGAGCAGCACTAGGTCTTCATCAGGGAAAGAGTGAATAAAAAGATTTATGTTCAAATCACATGTTTTAAACATTCCTGCTAAGTGCTAGTTTGCTCTTTGGTGTTTAGCTTGAAATTTAAAGCACTAAGGATTAAAAGGATTACAACATAATCTTAAATAATCCTAAATGTCATTTACAGAGAGAGTTGTAATAACTAAATAAAACCATGTTAAAGGATGGCGGTATTGTCAGCAGCATCCGCAACACAAGCGGTGCTCCTGTCACCTTCCTTGCAGTTCTCGCTGGGTACATCAGGCATTTACAAAGCCTTTTGATAGGATGTTCAACTGAGAAAATGCCTGCAAAATAACTTAAAACAACAAGCCATTGTTTTTAGCTTTTAATATTTTCTTGTTTCAAAGTTGAAGAAAGAATTTTACTTAGGTGTCCTTCCTTTGAACCTAAGCTCTCTAAGTTCAACATTTTTAAAGTCTAGGAAAAGGAAGTTCATGACAAGGCTATCAAATAGACACGTGACACCTCTCTAAAACATTCCCCAACCTCCAAGGAGATACCCCCTTATTAAATCTATGAGCATCCCAAAGCACTGTCATTAATTCCATGCCGTTTAATTTAGCACTTAAACATTCTTCACTTCTGGCATGTAAATTAGTTTTGTCTCCCCAGAGAAAATATAAAGACGGACACTATATCCCATACTGCCCTATGCTTATGAAACCAGAGGACTGGACACTTTTTACCTGATTAAATTGTTACTTCTAAGGCTAGGATTGCATTCTTTCAGTTAAAAACAGAAAAAAAAATTTATCTTTGTAAAAAATTTTAAGAAATTGTGTCCGCAATATAGGTTCTCTACTCCAGTGTTTCCAAGCTGTAAATAGGGAGTAAAGAATAAGAAGATACTGTCTGTTTCCTTGATGCTTTTCATTACAAGGTATAAGATGGTAGATAATTATTCAATTGAAATAATTAAATCATTTCTACATTAAAGGTTTACCTTTTGTCAGAGCCAAACAGTGACTAGGCCTCAGTTTTTCTAAGTGTCTTTTAAAATTAAATTTTAAAAACATGCACTGGGCTTTTCTATAGATTACATGCTTTAAATAAGATAATTCTACCAATTAATAAATTATGGCCAATTAGGAATATGTCAATTTCCTGCTTGAAAGAAAAATTTAAATGACTGAAGAAGATAAAGTCTGTTCACTTTCCCCACCACCAGTTTAT